TTTTCCCGTAATCAGGTCGTATCCTGGAGCCTTTTTTGGATCGATGTTGTGTTGTATAATATTTTTTACCTCATTTTTTGTGAATCTTTTTTCGGGAAGTTCTAGTTGATAAGGTTTTGTGAGTATCGAAATAATTTCTTCTTCAGTTTGTAGTGAGTAATTTCCCTCATTTGGTGTAAAGACTTTTTTAAGGTGTGTCGCAAATGTTTGTTTGTGTAAGGAGAAAGCTAATGAGAATAATAATGGTAATGAATGTTCTAGAAATAAAAATAATAAAAGAAACCTCTAAATCTTAATAAAATATTACCTAAACAAAAAAATTAAAACAATATCTATATATCTAATATATCTAATCTGATATAACATCAGAATTTAATTTTACCTACATAATGTCAAAAGAAAAATAAATTTTAATTTCTAATAAAACTGTACTAGTCGCTTAATCCTAAATCATCCGCTTTGTACCAATACCACAATATATTGCTAATAAATTGTTTAGCAATATACTGTGCCACAATACCTCAATTGTCATTTTAATAAACATGAAACCCGCCAATTTTTAAATTGGGACCCACCCACTAACCAATCACGCGAAAGTTAGGGAGCGCATTATAATGTAGTCTTAGGTGTAGTGAAGTAATCGTTATTTTTTATTAAGAGAAAGCGGTATTATGCGATACCTCATTTAAACGAGAATTTAATTCTCTATTTAACGACATTACATTTGTAATATTTTTTAAGGGTACAAAGCAATTGTTTTTAATTTAAATTCAACTAAATTACAACTAATGATTTAATTAATAATGTACTTTAAAGTAACCAAATTATGCATAATAATTATTTTATATTAAATGTTCGACATGCCATCCATTGGTTTCTTGACAATATGCGAATCTGCGGACTCATTCATCAAGTACATTGCGGATGACTTCTGGAGTAATTAGACTTATTTCATGCCTAATTCGATCTTTTAAGTCCTGTAAATTTTGGAGTCTATTGACATAAACTTTTGATTTTATTTAACCCCACAGGAAAAAGTCTAGAGGCATTAGATCTGGCGACCTGGCTGGGCACTCTATAAAACCTCGTCTTCCGACCCACTTCTTGTTGAAACCAGATATTTTCCCTAGGTAAATTTGGATTATTGGCATTTGGATACATGTTAGTAAGGACATTTTTGTAGCAAGGTTGATTTTTCAAAAAAGTTAAATAACGTTCTCCTGTTAGATTTTCTTCAAAGAAAAAAATGCCAATGATTATGTCATTAATGATCCCTGCTCATACATTTACTTTCTCCAGGATATTGCGTGTGCGACTCAGTCATCTAATGTTGACTTCAATATCTGCAAATTTGACGATTCACGGTATCATGTATAAAAAATGTGGTTTTATCGGAAAAAAGGATTTTATTGATGAAATGTGGATTGCGGATACATAAATCCTACAAAATTTTAGAAAATTGAAGCCGGCGATCGGGATCGTAGTCGTCTACTAATTCCTAATGTAGTTTAATTTTGTGGGGATGGTATTTTTCTTTTTAAAAAATACGTAATACCAATCGTTGGGAAACTCCAGCATATTCACCCATTTGTGTTGAACTACTGTGAGGATTGTCATGTACATTTAATAAAATATCAAGTTTCACATTGTCTTCAATTTTAGGACGCCCAGCGTTTGGAATATGTTTAACGTGCCCAGTTTCTCCAAATTTTCGGACTATTTTACTTACTGTTGATTGGCTGATGGGTCTGTCTGGATATTTTGCGTTGAATAAATTGCATACCTCATTCTGTGTTCTTTTTTATCTCTGCATCCGCTAAGAATTAATATTTCTATGCGTTGTGTTTCATTTAGTCGTGCCATAATTTAGTATTCAAAAGTAAAAATTACGATTCACAACTCATGACAATTCACAAAATCACAACATTTACGTCAATAAATATTACATTAACTATGCCACTATCACTTGCTTGAATTAACATTTGACAAAAAGTTTCAGTATTTGTGAGATAACTTTTTGTGTCCATTATTATTTTTACTTATTTTTCCTTTTTTAAGTATTTACTTCAGAAAGTCATTGAAGGAACCAATGGATGGCATTTCGAACATTTAATTTAAAATAATTGTTATGCATAATTTGGTTATTTAAAAGTACATTATGAATTAAATCATTAGTTGTAATTTAATTGAATTTAAATTTAAAAAATATTGTTGTTGCACCCTTAACAAAATATTTTCGTTAAAAATGTAATGTGGTTAAATAGAGAATTAAATTCTTCTTCAAATGAGGTGTCGCATTATACCAATTTCTACTAAAAAAAAATAACGGTTATGTCACTACACCCACACCGGTGACGTCATTCCTACTCCATGTACGTAAAAGGATGGGTATCTTATAACAAAAATCGACCTGTTTCAGGATTTCCCTCAATACTCGACGGTTCTCGAAATAATGATATTATTCCATAATTTAACCGTTCACTGTGTAGATATATATATATATATATATATATATATATATATATATTATATATATATATATATATATAATATATATATATATATATATTAATGTTTCTTTAATTTGTTTTTTACGATGATATATTTAATTTATCTTTATATTTTATTTCAATATTCACCCCTCAACAGAAACTAATGAGATTAAAAGGGCACTCGAAGAACTAGGACATTCAGTCAAAAATATCTCCAACATAAAACGAATAAAGGATAAAAAGCAACTACCACTTTTCCACGTAGAATTGAATGCTAATGCAAACAATAAAGACATTTATAAATAAACTACTTAACTCAATATTGTTCTGAAGCTATTTTCTTTTACTATTAAACTGGGAATAAGCCACAATTAAAGATAAAAATACGTTTATTAACGTTTCAATTTCCACTTCGGAAATCGTTCTCAAAATACAAACAGTAAATTAAACAAATTTTGTTTTTTGTTACATAGTGAAAAATTCTTCTAATAATTTTATTTTATCTGACTCATTTATATTGACAATTCAGACATAGATTATGCATTTTAAAGTAGACGACTTTAAAATGATATTGCCAATATTGTTGAGTTGCGCTCCTGGAACGACTTTACTTATAAGATAGTTCATTCGATTACATGAAATCAACTTTAACTTGAGAATATCCGTCAGAAAAAAAAATCATAGCATGTAATTCGTCTTTAAAAAGACAAACACATGACATGATGACAGTAAAATTCTCCTGTTAGTGATTCCATAGTAAATTATGAGGGAAAAACCAGGAAAAAAACCTCATAATACTATCCCGATATTGTAAGTATTTGTTCGTGAATTTAGTTTACCTTCAACAAACATCAAAATTCTGATTTTATATGTTACGTTATTTAGAAAACATAAATGAATTATCCTCTATATGTTACTGAGTTACTAATACTGGTATTTTCTTATTAATAACTTCCTCTTTCAATTGAAAATTGAACTCTATACGGCAAATATTCCCACAAGAGTAAACAGCACAATCGCTACCTATGCAGATAATACTGTGATAATGGCTTCTAGCTCGGTTCCTGTTACAGCCTGTCAAAATTTACAAATTCATTTAAATGAACTAGAAAAATGGTTAAAACTGTGGCGAATTAAAGTAAATGGCAGCAAATCAGCACATATAACATTACTTTACGCAAAGAGAGTGTACCATCTGTGTGCATAAACAATACCATAATACCCAAAAAAAGTGATGTTAAATACTTGGGAATACATTTTGACAGCCGACTAAATTGGGGAAAGCATATCTGGACAAAGCGACTGCAACCAGGATTAATATACAGGAAAATGTATTGGTTTATGAATTAAAAATCCAAACTAAGTCTACATAATAAATTATTACTGTATAAATGTGTTCTAAAGCCAGTTTGGACCTACGGTATACAGATATGGGGTACAGCATCTAATTCTCACCTACTGAAACTTCAACGTTGCCAATCTAAAGTTTTGAGACATATTACCAATGCACCGTGGTACGTGCCCAATTATGTTATACACCGAGATCTTCAGATCCAAAATATTAAAGACACCGTTGTCTCACTCAGTGGCACTTACAAAAATAGACTACTAAACCATCCAAATACACTTGCCCAAGACCTACTTAAGCGAACAAGGAGAGGAAGACTAAAACGACGTGATCCTCTAGACCTCTCTATACCTTTATATACATAAACGTACATATCATTTTATAGCTACACCTGATACTACATATACCTACAACGTATAATTGTGTGTGTTATAATTTTAACTATTGATATTTTTTTAATATGTTAGTAAAATGTCTTTGTAAATTGTTATTTATATTTCAAATATTTATATATATTAGAAATTTATCTTAAGGATTTCTGTCACTGGACTGATCTCCCCTATGTTAATTACTTGATAACCATATTGACTTTGGTTTTTTTTTTATTTGTATAAACAGATTTCAATAAATAAAGGATGTAAAAAAAATATTTTATTTATTATTCATAATTTTTTTTGTGGTTTCTAAATCTTACATTTACAAAATTTTAAATATTTATTTTTTAGCTTAACTATATATTTCTATATTTTACTAATTTTGATGAATGTTTCTTTTGTTAGTTCCTAGTTCTTATAAGCAAACGTATTTTTTTAAAAACATTCGTACCTTTTCAACTTTTCTCAGTGTATCTAAAAAGTTTTAAATCGCAACTTTACAATCAAAATTAGACGTATGTTTATGTGAAGTTAGGGAACATTTGTGACGTAAGTTATTTGCGCAAGAAAGGGTGATTTGGTAGTCGTCGGAAATTAGGAAAAACATTTGAAAAGCTCTATTTAACTAACGTCAGGAGCTTTGAACCAGTAACACAAACCGGCGCAAAAACATCGATTTTACAACCAAACTCCACATCCAACACTGTGGTCGTCGTTGAAGTTATGTGATTCACAAGTTGCGCTGCTTCACGTTAGTCTCACTATGGGCACTACGCTGTGAACATAATGAAAAGCGGTAGTGGAAAAGCGAGCGGGCACGTTATGTCGCTAAATCTTCCGCAAGATCAAAACAACGGAAAGGAAGTTGGAGCTTCAGCTTCACCGAGAAGGGCTGTCAGTCCATTGTTGGAAGTTCGGAGACCGCATTGCACGCTCAATTGCGACTACTGCAATGCCATTCTTGGCGATAGATTTAAACATGTTCAGTCCAATCAAGCGTCAAGTGAGTATTTTTAATATTTAAACCTTATTTTTGTACAATAAACTTTTATTTACAATAAATTTGATTTTGTTTAAAGTCAACTTTTTGGACTTTTTAGAAGTTTTAAAAGTACTGCGGTTAATATATTTATAAACTTAACGAAACACGTGTTTTAATCCGTAGATTTTGTTAAATGTTTAAAATTACTACAACTCCTTATTTATATAATCCGATAGCTTCAACTTTAGTTTCTTAACATGTTTCTTATGAAATGTAATTAAATTAAGTCAAAATCTAACTGTAAATTATTCTTTAGATTTTGTATTTATATTTTGTTTTAAAGCCAACGACAGTTGTTTCAGTGTTCTTAATATTTATCAATATTTATCATTATTAGCAGTAAGCCTCTTGTATCATAATATAATTTACATTCGATATTGAAAGAAAAGATCACTTTTGAGCTAATAAGTTATTACGATGAAATATGTGGTTTTTATAAAGGCCAAAAATATACTATTTGATAGTTTAGTCGGCAATAGGCAATATATAAAGAAAAATTAAAATACAGTAAATCTAATAGTCGATTTTTGTAGAAATGTCTTTAGTAGGTTGTTTATAACTAAATTTAAATATACAGCAGCTGTAAAAGTTGTGGAAAGATTTTTTTATAAAAAAAGGGATATTATACACGACAAATGTGAATATAAAAATAATTCGTAATTAAATTTTTATCAAGAGTTACTTGTATAATTAATAAAATACATTTCCAGCAAGTAAAAATAAAAATTTGGGAAACATTTTTTAAAATAACAGTTTGGAAATTTTGTTATGGAAAATCGCAAAATTGTTTACGTTTTCTGAAAATTTGGTATGAAAAATTTTATATCTCTCAAATTAAATTCTGTTCTATTAGGGAAGTTTTAAAAATGTTGAAACTTTGCTGCGTGAAAAGCACTGTTTTTCTTGTTATAGATATATATTATCTATATATAAAATATTTTTTATATCTAGTTGAGAGCACAATTTTATTTTGTAAAATCGAAATCGGTTTATTGGGTGAGATTGTGGAATTTATTAAAGGGCTACAAAAGTTGTATTTTTCTTTATTAAGCTTTATTATTAGGATCAAAATAGTCATAATTTAGTATAGGTATATATATATATATATATATATATATATATATATATATATATATATATATATATATATATATATGTTAGGTATAAAAAGTGATATAAACTTTTCTTAGGTCGATAAAAATTATTCTTTCGGAAATATAAAATGATACAAAATAAAATATTTATTTTGAAAAAAGTTCACAAAATCAATGAAATGTTGTTTAAATAAATAAATAAATCATTTAATCGTGCGTCTTTAAATCCAGACTTCGTATTATAACTAAAAAAAAACGACATTTTAATTTTTTATTTATAGTTTTATATACAATAACTTTTTTAAACCAGTTTTAGCAATTTTAAAAATTGTGATCAATGCTTCTAGATAAAAATTATATTAAATTGTTAGTATTTTGATTGTACAAATACATTTAAATTACTATATTTATTTACTTCTTCTATTTTGACGTTCTTAAGTATTATGTCCTCCCCATATTATTTTTTGTCTTCTCCTAATAAAATCATTTTTGTCTCTATTTAATTTAGTTTCATTTCATGCTTCTCAAGTTCTTCGATGCATAATTTTAGTGTTTCTTACGTTGTTCTTAGCTGCTATTATTATTTTATCGGCGAATCCACATTCGGAGAGTGATACTTAAGTCAGCTTCATATATCCTAAATATCTTTCTTTGATTTTTTTGTTGCAGTTGGTGATCATTTCATCCATATTGTTCTGAAGCTATTTTCTTGTGTCATTTTAACATTATTCACTGCTGTATCCAAACCACTCCCTGATGTTTCTCAGTCAGGACATTCTTCTTTTACTTATGCTGCGCTTTTCTTGAATCTTTCCCTGCATTATTAGTGTTAGGAACCCATATTTGTCACCACGTGTTATATGACCCAGATATTGTAGTGTTCTTATTTTGATAGAATCCAGTATCACCCTGCTATTCTGTTCTCTATTCTTCTTAGTACTTCTTCATTGGTTATTCTGTTTGTCCAGGAGATTCTCAAAATTCTTCGATATGTCCTCATTTCAAATGCTTTCAATTTATGGAGACATAGTTTATTTAAAGACAATGTCCACACCATACATAAGATCGGGCAATGCATAACACTATAGTACTCGTTTTCTACGATTTAGGCTGAGGTCTCTAAAACATAATATTTATTTCATATTATTGAATTTACTTCTAGCCTTTTCTATTCTAACTCTAATTTCTTTGATATAATCGTTTGTTTTATTAATGTTTGTTCCTAAATAGTTATAATTCTGAACTGGCTCTATCGTCTTATTATTTACGTGTAGATTGACGTATCTAATACCTTTCTTTGATATAACCATGAATTTTGTTTTCTTTATGTTTAGTGACACACCAAATTCTTCATTCGCTGCAACAACCTTATCTAAAATTCTTTGTAGGTCTGTAATATTTTCTGCTATTAGTATTGTATCATCAGCATATCTAATTTCACGTATGGGTAGGCCATTTATTTTTATGCCCGCTACTTCATTTTCTAAAGCTTCTTTGAATATTTCCTCTGAGTATGCATTAAACAGTGATGGCGACAAGACACAGCTCTGTCTAACACCTCTTTTAATTTTTAATTTATTATAATACAAATTATTTATAATTCTTATATCCCGTGTGTCGATGTTCTTTGTTCTCAGTAGTTTTATTAGCGGATTATGTTTCATTGTATCGAATTACGAATCCATTATTATAATCTAGGAAGCAGACATAGAGGTCCTGGTTTACATCTAAACATATCTGTATTAACACATTTACTGCATATAATGCTTCTCTGGTTCCTTGAGCATTTCTAAATTCAAACTGAGTTTGTATAATGTCTTGTTCTTACTTTTTATATATTCTACGATAAATAATCTTTAGAAATACTTTTAGTGGGTGGCACATTACACTGACAATACGGTGATCGCAACATTGTCTGGCGTTTTCTTTTTCGGTATAGTCACGAATGTTGATAGAAGCCATTGTTTAGGTAATATACCTGTTCTGTATATGATATTAAATAATTCGACAATAACATGTATATTGCAGTCGGCGATAAGTTGCAATATGTATTTCGTCTGGTCCTACTGCTTTCCCAGTTTTCATTTCTTTAATTTTGTGTTTACTTTACTTTCTGTTATTTCTTGTTCAGTCTCTTTAACGAAATATTCGTTATCTATTTTGTCTAATTTGTCGTTAAACAGCTGTTCTATATAGTTTGCCCATACCATCAATTTGTTTTCTGTATTCATTACTGTGTCTCTCTTTTCATCAACTAGTATATTTTGTTTGTATTCTTGTCTTTTAGTTAATTCTTTTATTTTCCTGTGTAAATTAAAGCTGTCATGTTTATTTTGTAGCATTTCTACTTCATCACATTTTTCTTTTAACCAATTTTCTTTTGCTATTCGAATTTGTCGACGTATTTCGTTTTGTGTTTGCTGGTACAATGATTTATTTTTGTTCTTATATACTCTTCTTTTGTTAAACAAGTCCATCATCCAATCCTTTTTTGTTTTCTTTGATTTTACGTAGATATTTTTTTGAAGGTTCTATTAAATCAGCCTTTATTTTTTCTTTATTGCATTCTTCTTCAATCTGTACCGTGTTTAGACGTTCATTTATATTTTCTCTGATTTTTAGATCTTTTAGTGCATTTATATCAGTTCTTTCTTCTTTTGCTGTCTTCTCTATTCTTTTCATGTTAATTTTCATATGTGCTACTATAACAGATTATGGTTAGATGCTATATCTGCTCCAGGTTGTGTTTTGACTGCAGTAATACTATTCCGATATCTTTCTTTGATTATTATGTAATCATTTGATTTCTCATTAACTGATGTTCATTATCTCTTGGCGATTTCCACGTATACAAACGTCTATTAGGTAATTCAAAGAACGTGTTTATAACAATCATATTATTTATATTGGCAGAACTGTATCAACCTATCTCCTCTTTGATTTCTATTAGCTAATCCAAAATTTCTCACTACGTTGCTTGTATTACTCTTTCAAACTTTGGCGTTCAGGTCACCCATTATTATTGTGACGTCACGTGCTTTGGTAGTTCTCAATGCCTCTTGAGTTTGTTCATAGAACGATTCCACCTCTTCGTCATCTTTTTCGTCCGTTGGTGCATAGACTTGAATTATGTTTATTTTTCTGTCTTTTGTTTTAGTCGTAGTAGCATAACCATTTCGGAAAAAGGTAGAAAATTCTGGACGTGTTGTGAGATTTTATTGTTCAGTATTATTGCCACGCCGTGTCGATGTTGTGTGTCACTATTACCCGAATAGTATATCGTATGGTCTCCAACTTTACATTTTTCGTTCCCTATCCATCGCTTTGTTTATTCCTAAAATATTGATGTTAATTCTTTTTATTTCTTGGATTACATTGAGTGTTTTTCCGGATTCGACCATGTAGCCATCCAATTTTAAATTGACAATCTTTTACGACCAATTATAACGAGTAGTAAATAAAGTTAAAGGGAAGATGATAATATTGGGGGATTTTAACGCTTGAATAGGCAATCAAGTAATACCCGGCATCAAACAAAAACATAAAGAGAGTGTTAAAAACGAAAATGGAAAACTGATGATGAACTTCTGCACGAATAACGAACTAACGAATCATATCTATATAAAAAGAAGAAGAAGAAGAAGAAGAAGAAGAACCATTCAATTTTAAATTGACGGTCTGCTTTTTTCTTTTTCTGGAGGGATTTCCCTGGTTGACGACCTGAAAAGCCCTGACTCCTTTCCTGCCGGATGTTTTTCTCCGATACCCATGATCAGTACATGTCTGCTCTGTCGCCTCATTTTATGATAATTCGACTAGGGATATCTTACTATCTTCAATACAGTGGGTCCCAGTTGCCTTCTTTATTCTTATGCCGTAGG